CTTGACATACACACTTCAAGTTGTTTCCTTTTTAAACAACATCTTCTGGGTGCATCTGATTCAACCAAGCAACTCCAGGTGATCCACATTTCCTCTTTGGATGTAAATAATCTCCCACCCAATCCCAGCATAATCTGTTATTGTCCTTTCGGAGCCTCTCTAGTTTTTCCTACTGAAAATAATCTTCTTTTGGTAGAGTCCTAACTTATTCAGCCACTGCTTGCTTTTTTTTTTGTCTTTCAGGCTTTCAACAGACCTCACCCAACTTCAAAACCAGTCTGTGTTCCTCCTAACGAGCACCCCTAGTTTGCTCTTAAAGCTACAAACTGATAAAATGTCAATTAACGAAAGTGAATCTGCAGATGAAGTAGAACACAGGCTGAGCTGTGTCCCCCACCGAATTCCTGTGTTGAAGTGCTAACCCCGTGTTTCAGTGCTTTCAGGATGTTACTTCTTGGTGATAAGGCCTTTAAAGAGGTGGTGACATTGAAAGGAAGTCTTCTGAACCAGTCCTATCTAATCTGGCCAGCGTCTTTATTATATTAAAAAAAAAAAAGGCAATGCGCACATGTAAGAGGAACACGCGGCACTCAGACCACGTGAGAACGAAACAAGATAGCCAACTGTAAACAGACCGGACGCCTCAGAGCCTCAGAGCTCTCAACAGTTTGGCCTTGGACTCGCAGCCTCCAAAACTGTGAGAAAATACATTTCCTTTGATAAACTCCCCAGTCTGATGTTGTTACGGCAGCTCTAGCCGTCTAATGTGACGGCCTTATTCTCTCCAAGGCCTTGGTTAGCACCGGAGAGCTCAAAACCTCCACCCTCCCTGGAAAAGCTGCTGCAAGTCACGTTTCGTTGTTGGTATTTTGTTTTCATTTCCTTAAACCTCTTTGAAACTCAGAGTCCTCTTTTCTTTTCTTTTTTTAAGTGTATCTCTCCTTTTTAAGGATTAAGTGAGATAATTTAGGTAAAGCAGAAAACATTTCCTTAGATCTTACCCCACCCCCACCGTACACTCAAGAGCAACTTTTTTTACATTAGTGTTGTTGTTGTTGTTGTTGTTGTTGTTCCTAAACTCAGGGTTTAGCTTAACCTGGAGGCTCACACTTAAAAGCTCTGTGTCAGTCAAAAAAGTCACACCAGCGGGGTGCCTGATCCCAATCTATTACAAGTAGCCCGTGAGCCCCTGGTGCGCCATCTCCCTTAAGCAGGTGACAGGATTGCTTCAGTGAAAGACAGGCCAAAGTTCACCCTGTGGTGAGCAGCTGCTCTTTCCCACTGGATGGGGAAGTTTGTTCCGCAGCTCAGGCTGGCCTCAAACTTTCTATCTAGCCAAGGATGACCTTGAAATCTTGATACATCCGAGGAATGCACCCCCATTTCGTTTACAAGGTATGGGGGTGGAATTCAAGGTTTTGTGCTAGGTAATTTAATCAATGAAGCTACATCCCCAGCTCTCCATTGAGCCCTTCTGCCTCTAGCCTTAAAAGCAATCTCTAGAACCTTCATTTGGTTTCCCTGATAACTATGCTGAGACCTATCAATCTCCATTCATGTATTCATTCGTTGTTGGCGAAGACTTGACTCAGATCTACCACAAACAAACGTCCTGATCTCTGTTCTCTTGGAGCCTCCTTTCTGGTTGGGGAAGGCAGCTAAAGGTTTCTTTACTCTGCAACTACCAGAAGGGAGCAAATGTCAAGAGGAAAATAAAAATGGGATGAAGGAAGGTGGCAAAAAAGGATTTTGTTCTTTGGGTGGGACACTGAGCAAGACCCCAGGGTGGAATTTGAGCGGAGACACAGAAATGAGAACAAGGTTCATCCGAATGTCTGGGAAGAGAACTCTAGAGAGTTTCTTCCTCATCAGCGGGGACCTTCCATGTCTTAGTTCTTCACCTCTGCAAGGTTGGATGGAGCCTTTCTAAAAAGCTTTGGTACTCCCCTACACTCCTGTACCTCAAAATGCGGCCTGCTTTGGATAATACAGGATGAGATTGTTAGGGTGGGCCCTAATCCAGTACAACTGATGTCTTTATGGGGGTTGGGGGCAGAGAACCACATATGCAGGGAAACACTGTGTGAGGATGAGGGCAGAAAACACAAACATGTATTTACCACGTGCTGTCCGCAATCTGCCAAAAGATACAAGACGGACAGGACCGATCCTGCCAACTCTTGATTTTGGACTTCTGACTCCCTAGTATATGTCAGGCAATCACGTTCTGTTGCTTAAGCATGGTGTTCTGTTCTGTCAATCCTAGAAAACTAATACAACTGCCTAATGCTGACAATCAGAGACAGGCCACGCCTCCCCCAGGTTCCCAGGAGAAACCTCAGGGAACTGCCTGAGTTCCCTTACCGGATAATTTCTCCCTCCCTGGATGCCCAGTTGCCAGTCTTCCTCTCAAACCATGCTCCATGATACTATCTCATAGGTCCACACGCTGTCACCCACTCCTGCACGTCTCTGGGACCCAATCAGAATTCTCAGCCTGGAAGCACAGGCCCTGAGGATCCAACCGCAACACGCCAGTTTGTTTCTCTCATCTTTGCCATAACTCGTTGGCCCATGTGATCAAACTTTTACTCATCCCGAGACCTTAACTAGCTCACCAGGCCCACCGGGAAGCCTCTCAGTGCCCCTGAGACAGGATATGGTATCCCTCTTGTGTGCTCTGGGAAAACAGCAGGGTGGGGAAGCGGGAGGGTCGCGGGTGGGGAGGTGTGTATCCAACGCCTGATTATCCGAGGTCTCCTTGTAACCAGTCTTGTTTGTATCTTGGGGTACTAAGAAGTGCCTGGCACCTGGAGAACATGCATTGGGAGAATAAATGAGCAATGCCTCCTGCATCCCATCCAGCTGGACCCAGAAGTATTTATTTTTCCTTTTAGTGGTGGGGGATGGGCGGGTGACCTTTCCAGGGATTGCCCAACAGTCTCTAGAAACACTGGAGCTGGATGGTGAGGTACCTTCCCTTAGTGGTTGCAAGAGGAATTTAGATTAGACATTCAAAAGCTGTTCCTTGTGTCGCAAGACACTGCACAATAAGGAAGGGAAGTAAACACTCTATTCAAAAAAATTATCTTGGCATGGTCAATATTTTTAACGCAGTTTTTAATTTTTTAAAAATTTTTAAATAGGAAGTATCCCGTCTGAACTCCAAACCTCTTGCTTTTTCAACTTTATGTTCATGACCTATAGGCGAAATTAGGAGGTGGACAAAATAGGGGAATTGTTATAACTGAAAGCCATATGTCTTGCTCACTTCTCCAAAAAGTAAACATTGTTGAGGTTTCAAAATCATTTGCATACAGGGTTATAAATGCTGCACAGCCTGGAAAAAGGGTAGAGAGGAAGAGAGAGGGCTTTGTTGTTTGGGGTATTTGAATAGGACTAACTTGAGGAAGACAGAGGAATAAAGTAAAAAAAAATACTGAATGAGACAAGCAATGTTTCAGAATTTCCAGTTCTCAAGAAACACAGCCTTAAAAAAAAAAAAGTCTGGAGCTAGAAGGGAGAAAAAGAAACGGGAAGGGGGAGGGGTGCTGGCTCCTTACAGCAGGAAGTCTTCCATGGACATCAAGTTATGAAGAAACAACTGTACACAGAAGTCCTTATTCGGAGCGCTAAACTCGATTTCACCACTCAAAGAGAGATAGATACACGGTTCGAGCTGCCTTTTCCTGGGGTTGGGGAAACAACTAGCCACGCAAGAGAGCTCCGACTGGGTTGTGGCCCCGACCAGTGTTAGGGATTTTATTTGCAAGTCAATGAGCTAAATGGGCGACCGGGCTCGTTGTGCTTCTTTCTGCAGGCAAGGTTATTATTATCACCGCCTATTGCTCCACTGAATAATTTCACTGAAAAGGAAGAGTCCTAGCAGTGTGTGCGCGCACCGTGCCCTACAGGACGTGCCGCTACGTGCCCACCTTCAAAACGACTTTATTTACAAAGCGATTACCAAGCTATCTATCTGTTTTCCTTTTGCAGCAGCAGCAGCAGCAGCCTTACTCAGCCAGCCCTCGAATTTCTTAATTACAAACCCGTTTGCTTCTAAATCAACCCCAAACCGTCAGGCAGAGCCCGGAGGGAGGCTGTGCAAGTTTGCACACACCCCCACCTCCTGGATCAAGGGCAACAGCAGAAGCAAGTAACTGTGTATGTGCAAAAAGGTGGATCTGGGGACGAGGATCGCTGAGTTTGTTTACAGAGCAGGGACGCCTCAGCACGGATGCCAAAGCTACCAAGAGCTGCAAACGCAAACTTAGCAGAAGCACACGTACTCGGAACGTGGAGGCAGACCGGAAAGAGTGGAACGGATCCCCGAACGCGGGAGTGGAGCCGACCCGGCCTGTGTGCGCGCTCGGTCCACCTGCAGCCGCTGCCGCTCCCCGCCCCCAGTCCCTGTCCTTGAAAAGAGTGGAGGCAGGGTAAATGCACCCACACGCAGAAAATATCTCGGTTAGGTTTACAATGCTGCCGGTGTAAAAACACAAAGGCGCGGAACAGGAAAGCGCGCTCAGAGTACGGGGCAGGACCGGTCCGGGGCTTTAAAACCCAAACTCGGGAAAGGACAGCTATTCTTCGCAGGTTAGGGAGGGTTTTGCACCCAAGCAAACTCTGCAGGGCGGGGAGGCTGAGCGAACCCCCTTTTCCTGTAGAGGGCAGGGCAGATCACTAGGTGAACCGGGTGAGCAAGCTGGGGGCGGGGAGATCTGGCCAGAGGGAGGCGGAAAGTGCTCCTTGGTCCTATCCTGTGGGTGCTTTTTTGCACTGGGTGGCCGGGAGGATTAGCTCCTTGTCCCGGAGGTGGTAGGTACAACCCTCGCATTGGGGGCCCAAAAAGGCACCCACAGTCCGGGGAACTTCAGGGCGGCGCCAGGGCGCGCAGCCTCTGCGCACGTGCCGTGCGGACTCGCGGACGCGGCTCGGGGACCCGGTCCCTTGTTCCGGAATCCGCGTCTTCTCGCTTGCCGCCGGGGAGGCTCTCGCTCCGCCCTTCTTTGAGATCCTTATATTAACTGTGGCCAAAGCCCTAAGAAACACAGCTCATTGTTGGCAGCTGCCGGGCGGTCCTGCGAAGCGGAGAGGGCAGCGAAGGGAAAAGAAAAGGGAACGGCTCGCAATCTGCCCCAGCGGCTGCTGCAAGACCTCGGCGCCAACCTCGCACAAGCGAGCGCTCCACAGCCCCTCGGCTGCCCATCTATGTGCTGCTGAGCCGGTCCTGGACCCGACGAGCCCGACTTCGGTGTTCCGAGCAGAAATCGCAAAGACGGAAGGTGAGCGCGGCGGGCGAAACTGGCCAGGGCTGCTGCCAGCCTCGTCCTCCGAGGGCAGGGCTGGCCCCGGGGACGAGCGTGAGGCGGTGCTGGGGAATAACAACAGGATGTGCAACCACAGGGTGAGGAGGGCTGATTGAATGCCTGAAGTTCGCGGCTGGGCTCCGGGGCACTTCCTTTATTAAGCCACTTCGGGGAACCTAGGGGGGTGTGGGCTCCGTTCGCCCCCCTCTTCCCCACTCCCGGATCGCTGGGGAAGGGGCCGTTTGCGCAGCGCCAGGCTGTGCGGGTCCGGCGGGCAGCAGGTCCGCCGAGGTGGCGAGCTCGGGTGCACGGACTGCCTGCCAGTGGGTTCCCTCCCGGGGAAGGTGGTCTGCTGCTTGACGTGCGCGCGGGTACAGGGGCGATAGAAGTGGGGTGCGCTCTGGTGGGCGACACGTGTGGCGCGGGTCTCAAGCGTCTACTCGTTTCGCTTTCAGGACTGGAAATGGCAGACCATATGATGGCCATGAACCACGGGCGCTTCCCCGACGGCACCACCAACGGGCTGCACCACCACGCTGGCCACCGCCTGGGCAGCATTGCGCCCTTCCAGAGCCCGCATCACCACCAGCAGCAGCAGCCCCAGCACGCCTTCAACGCGCTCATGGGCGAGCACATACACTACGGCGCGGGCAACATGAATGCCACGAGCGGCATCAGGCACGCCATGGGGCCGGGGACTGTGAACGGGGGACACCCCCCGAGCGCTCTGGCCCCTGCTGCCAGGTTTAACAACTCCCAGTTCATGGGGCCCCCGGTGGCCAGCCAGGGAGGCTCCCTGCCGGCCAGCATGCAGCTGCAGAAGCTCAACAACCAGTATTTCAACCATCACCCCTACCCCCACAACCACTACATGCCGGATTTGCACCCCGCTGCAGGCCACCAGATGAACGGGACAAACCAGCACTTCCGAGATTGCAACCCCAAGC